GGGGGGCTGCAAGGCTCACCCCGAGAAATATAGTGTTAGCTCTGGGGGGCTGTGGTGCTAACCCTGGGAAATATATCATCAGCTCCTGCGGGTCTCACCCCGTGGGGCTGTAGGGTTCACCCATGGGGGGTATGTGGCTCACCCCCGGGGGCTATAGGTCTGGTCCTGGGGCAGCTGTAGAGCTTTCTCTGGGGGGTCTATGAGGTCCATATGAGGGTGACTGTAGGACCATTCATGGGAGGGCTAAAAGACCTTCCAAAGAGGGTGTGATGCTGTCCCCCCAACCCCAGTTGTCCCCTCTGCTCTCCAAGCATAGCCAGGGCTCAACAGATGTGGAAAGGGGTGACACCCCCATCACACACCCCCCGCGGGATTTGAGGCCCCCCTGGGCTGTCACGGAGTGGTGACTGTGAGTGCAAGTGTGTCCCCAGGGTCTCTGGAGGCTGCCAAGGTGCAAGGGTGAAGGCTGGGGGGGGTGTCTGCTGGGACCTGGGCTCGCTTGGGTAACTTGTTGGCTCACACCAAGGTGGGGTTGGAGTTCAACTCTGGACTCCTTGCACAGGACAGAGCTGTTGGGAGCTGGGAGAGCAGGACTGGCACCTGCCTGGCGTGGGAATCCCTTTCCCCCTCTTCACCTCCACGAGGGGATGCCAGGTGGAACACAAGGCTGGTGGTGTCTGTGCCCTCTCCAGGCTCCTGGTGATGGGCACTGGAGCCTGGAGGTGCAGGGACTGGGTGCCCTTCAACATCTGCACGTGTGTGTGTCCTCCGAAGGCACATGTTTCCCCTGTGCCTGGAGTGTCGTTAAAAATGTATTAATAGCCAAGTGTAATTAAATACAAGAAGCTGCAGGAAAATACATATGAAAGGGCAGATGGCAATAGGCAGGAAGCTGAGAGCTGGAGTTGTAGGGGCAGGAAATGTCTCTGTGCAGCACCGAGCACAGAGCTCAGTGGTTGTTGGAGAAGGACTTGAGCTTTCCTGGTATCCAGGCTCTGCAGGCATCAGAGGGGTCAGTGTTCAACAGCAGCTTGTGTGTGTTTTTAATTTTAAAGAGGGAAAAAACCCAACTGAGGAGCTGGGGGGAAACCCTCCTGTTACATTTCCCTCAGCTGCTGTTGCTGGAGCCGTTCTGGAGGGACTGGAGAGGTGCAGGGTCCTCAGCTGGTTCCCATTAGCATTCCCCTTCCCTTTCCCAGCGCCCTGGAGCAATGCCTGTTTCGCAGCACCTCAGTGCAGGGTGTCAGTGCACAGCTGCTGGCAGGGACTGTACCAGGCTGTGCCAGTGGCACAGGAAAATCTCCCGGAGCTCAAGGCAGGGTGTGGAATATGCGAAGGAGGATCTGCGTGCTTGGCCTGCCCTGCCTGCCCTCTGCTTCAGCCCACTGTGCTCCAGGTTTGGCCACTTCCCAGGGCTCCTGCTCCTCATCCCTGGAGCATCTTTGTGCCAGTGAGTCAGCCCACCACGCTCTAAGGGAAGCACACACTCCCTCCCTCATCCGGAGATAAGAGCAGCAGCGATGTGGAGCCAAACCCATGTGAGGACTCCAGCGTGCTTGGACTTTTTTAGCTCGAATTTGGCAACAAGTTACCCTACTGCCACCCAGCCCCTTCTTGGGGTGCTGAACCAGCCAGCACAGTGGTGCTTTGGGGATGCTGAGGGGTCTCCCAGCAGGTGCAGCACCAGGTGTTGGATTTTGCTGCTTCCCTTCTGCACAGGGCTTGGATCTCACATCGCTGTGAAACTCCTGGTGTGGAGTCTCAGTGCTGTCACACAGCCAGGGAAGGATTTGGGCCGGTAGCAGTGCTGCAGCCCTGCTGCTAGCTAACTGCAGTTTGGATCCATAAGGAATAGCTCCAGGCATCTCCCAAGCAGCCACGCTCCTTCCTCGGGAGCTGGAGGAGCTGCCGCCCCCGAAGCAGGCGAGCCCCTGCCTGCAGGTTGCTGAGGAACCACGTGTGCGTCTCCAAAGTTAGTGGCCTGGAATTCAGGGGGGGATAAGGCTCAGTAATCCCGTTTAAACCTGCTGGAAAAGGCTGGTCAGGCTGTCGGGAAGCAAAACAAAGCAGCATGAGGACTGAACTGCGCATCTCAATGTGGAGCCGCTCACCTGCATCCCACCTGTGTTTGACACTCCCTGCACGGATGGGCCATGCCACCTTCTGCTTCTGGAATTCCCAGCCTCTGGGGCCTGGCAGGACAGGAGAGGAGAGAGCTGAGCGTGGTACTGTGGTAGAAACACAGATTATCTGCCCGGGGCAAAGCAGCTTGAGAAGGTTCAGCCGAGCCCAGCAGCAGCAGCAGCCCCCCAGGACGTGGTGGCTGCCTCATTCCATGCCTCATTCCAGCTGTGGAATGGAGGGATTTAGCACCATCTAACTTTTGAGGGTCTCATTCCAGTGCTTTGAGTTTCCCTGGGGAGGCTGCACGGGGAGCCCTATATATAGCCACCCTATCTAGGAGCGTGGGTTGCCGAGTGGGACGTCTAAAATTATCCATCCCACCCCCGAGCACC